AGACAGGACCGTCCACTGTCCCGGGGCTGAACTAAACTGCGAGGAGACAAGTCATTATGTTTCATGGCTTGAGGATCTTGATGCTGTCAAGACAAATTTATTTGCTGCACTTAGAAATGTTAGTACTCAAAACGTGCGACCAATAGTGTTCGTACTGAACTACGATCACATATATTTAGGAAAGATGGTAAGATTTCTACTATTTCTCCTCAGTGCATCTTTTGCATACATTATTTTTTTAAGCTAAACTTCATTGCTAAGTATGTTACTATACGATTTTCTTCAACAGGGACTCCCGATGAATGTTGTGCCTGATTGAATCGAGACTAAAGGTACCATGAATATTGTTAGCTTACGACCAAGATATCCTACAATGCAATTTAGTGCATTCAGGATTTCTAATAGCGAGGAATGCTTAATAGTAAAAGACTGGAGCAAAATTGTGAACGATCACAGAGAAGTACTAGGGGCAGCAATCAGAAGCGCAACTCACGATTAGGAGACATGTTCATCTGCATGCTCCAATATGATGAATCAGCAAAGCTATACATGTTCTATGCTATTTTACCTGAGAGAGAGCAGCAGTAGTGATTAATTAGCTAGTTCATGCTCTTAGTATTTGTCCTCTCATGTTCGTGTTCTTCGTCCTGAACTTAATCTCAAATAGTGATTTGCTTTTGTGGTGTTATGAACGCTTATAATATCATTACCATGTTGAACTCGATGATATCTTTGCTATGAAAACCGTTGGTGATGATATATATGATGCAAGAGTTTTTATATTAATTAATATGATGATGATGATGAGTTATTATATCATTTATGAAAGAAATTGCATATTAGTTTCAGCTGGATGGATTCTAGCTAAGTGATCAAGTATATGCCATATCCATATTACCTCGACCACTTAAGTAGGTGATCAAGTATATATAATATGGATATGACATATACTTGATGACTTAGCTAGGATCCACACGCATCCAGTCAAACTAATCACCTAATGATTTAACAACTCATTATAATGTAAAATAATCACTAAATTAAATTGAAAACACAAAATTAAAGTAAAAATAAAAAATAAAACCAAAACACACCAAAACATTTAGTACCGGTTAGTGTTACCAACCGGTACTAATGTCCTACGCGCCCACGGAGCTGGCTCGTGCCACGTGTTTGCCCTTTAGCACCGGTTCATGCTGAACCAGTACTAAAGAGGGGGGGCCTTTAGTGCCTACAATTTAGTGCCGGTTACCGAACCGGCACTAAAGCCCCTTACGAACCGGTGCTATTGCCCGGTTCTGCACTAGTGAGGGGCTGCGCACCATTACTTCGGGGTGCCCGTGCCCATGGAAGACGTGGACGAGGCCGTTCCGGCAGTCTAGGTCGAACCACTCGCTGCGCAACCAGTCGCCGCGCAAGGAATCCAAATTGAAGCTAGCGCGGCGGGGGGCGGCGGCGAGCTCAGGCGGCTGAGGCACTGGCACAAACTGCGGGGATTGCTTGTCGGCGGATGCATGGGCCCTGGTGATGACGTAGAAGCCGAGAAGGCTGGGCGGGTGGAGGTCGCCGAAGCGACGGAGGAAGGCGGGCGCGGAGGCGAGGCGGAGCCAGCGCTTGCAGACGATCGCGGCGCGGACGAAGCTTGTGGGGAAGGCGACGCGGGCGAGGGTCTCGCCCAGGAGATCGTCGTCGTCGAGCACTACTGAGAAGACCGTTGCGGCCGCCGCCAGCTCCCTCTTCCCTTCCATCTCTGCTCTCGATGTGGTATTCGGGGTCCCGTTGAGGATTCGAGAGAAGGGTCGATCGCCACAGCAAACTCAGACGATGATAATTTGGGGTAAGAAATAGGAGAGTTTAGGGTTTTACGTACGTTTACTTACCTGGCATAGAGTCCGTTCAGGTTTAGCCTTCGTCCCCTCACGGATCCGTCTTGGTTTCTAATTCGTGGACAGTCAACTTTCTTCACCAAAACCATAATTTTCTTGCCTTTCTTCTTCGTGTCCGGCCGCGGCACGCTTGATGCGAGTGGAGACAGTGATTGAACGACATGGCAAAGAATGGCGGCTGCTACAAATCAAGAAATCATCCGCCTGTACAACCGTCCGATAAGTGTGCAAGGGGCCGTTGGATCAAAACAGGCAGCAGTGAGCGTGACAGCTTCAGCGCAGCCCCTGCGGAGCTCCAACCAAGCATCGACAGCTTCCGGTGAGCTCTATTGCAACCCGACGGAGCTCCAATGCAGCACCAACGCTCCGGCGGAGCTCCATTGCAACTCCGGCGAGCTCGAACGCAGCACAAAGGCTCCGGCGAAGCTCCATTGCAACTCCGACCGAGCTCCATTGCAGCTCCGATGAAGCTTCAACGATCTCCTTGGTGCTTCACTACAGCTCCGGCGCGCTTCATTGCAGCTCTGTCATGCTTCGTTGCAGCTCCGGCGGCGCTTCATTGCAGCCCCGGCGGAGCTTCGACGACCCGGAGAGCACTCCATTGCAGCTCTGCCGCCGGCGACTTGCAGCAACCAGCCGCACCGCCCCGACGTTGCGCCGCAACACTATGGCCATGGACGAGTTGCTGCGTCGCAGCACCGATGGGTCGTCAACGAGCAGCCGCCTGCCCCTGTGTGTTGCGTCGCCCCCTCGGGGTTGCAGGCACCGCGACG